GGGGGGGGGAAGGGTTTGTGCGGGGAGAAGGGTGCAACAATGAATTAATGGAATTCCAAAATCTCTGTAGATGTGCATTGAAATGAAAAATAAACAAACTAAATTAATTTTTAAAAAGATATTGCATATACCATAAACTGTCAAAAGAACAAAACAAGTCTATCTTGGAAAAAGTACTACCAGAATGTTCCCTGGAATCAAGCTTGGTGAGACCTCATTTTTCATACTTGGATACATTACTGTGTTGGATAGGTCCTAGAGAAGTGCTTTACACTTAGTAAAATAGAGGGTCAGGAAAAAAGAGGAAGAGCTTCGACCAGATGGATTAACCCAGCAGTTGCAGCAGTGCGCTCAGGCTGCAAAGATTGTGAGGATGGCATAGGACAAGTGTTCTGTTCTAATAGAGCAGCTCTAAGTCAGAGCTGACTAGACTGCACCTCACAATATTTTTCACCTTGGAAGAAGCCCTGGACGTGGTTAAGAACTCAGTTACCTAACAAAAAGGTCAATGGTTCTACCCCATCAGCAGTTCTGCAGAGAAAAGACCTGGTGATCTACTCCCGTAAAAAGTATGGCCTAGTCAAGGCTATGGGGTAATTCTGTTGTCCTGTAGGATTGCTGTTGTTTGAGTTGACTCCCTAGCATGTAACAGCTTTTCACATTGGAATTAACCTAATTCTTGGCCACATTTCATGCTTCTAATTTTCTTTTTTAATCCTTTATTTCCAATTTATAAAACTTGGCTTTTTGACGCATCCTTGTAAATATATCTTAAAATTATTTAGAGGACACCTCCACATTTCCTTTCCAAGGTAAAGAAGGTCCCTTTAATCTTTGGGGCATAACTTTCTAATAAATCTATTTTTACTTTTACCTTTTAAAAAACTACTTAAAAAGAGACAATGTATTCCTTTTAAAAAATTAACTCAATGTTGTTATACACAAGGCAGGTGAGTAAGACAGGATGCACAGCAACACTCTGTCAAGTTTCTGAAGCTGTGAATTGTAATGAGAGGAGACTGTTGTATCTTTCCCTTGGAGTTGCTGGTGGGTTGGAACCATGAGGATGTGTGACCTTTGGGTTGGCATCACAACTCACTACAGCCTACAAAATACATGTGCCTTTCCTTCCTTCCCACCCTATATAAATTCAGATTGATGGGTTTGTTAAAGAATAACTGCTTTCAAAATTGCAGGTCCTTTCCTCCCACTAGCAAAAATGACAAAATGAGTGACTACAACACAGTACTTCAGGCAAGCTAGAAATTTATTAAAGAGAGGTAGCTTTTGCATGGGAACGTTTCTGCGCTCAGAACAAAGGGAAGCTACAGAGGTTTTATTTCTGTTAACCCTTCCTTCTGCCCTTCTTCAATGTGTTTGCATTTTAGGCTTAAAGTGTGAAACAGACATTGATGAATGCAGCTCACTGCCTTGCCTTAACAATGGAATCTGCAAAGACCAAGTTGGAGAATTTATTTGTGAGTGCCCTTCTGGTTACACAGGTAAGGGAAGGTCTTGTGTTTACAGTTTAGGCTTTGGAACCATTAACATATTATTAAACTTTGAAGGCATTGTTAGGACACATTCACAGGGTATTATATTGAACAGCCATGTTTCTTAATTTAATTTCTATACATTGGGAAATCTCCTTTTCATTATCCTGGTTTTATTTAGGAGAGTAAGATACTAATTTGGCAGTATAAAATTGATGGAAATGTGTAAAACCTCTAGGCTTGGTTTTTGGTTGGTTGATTAGTTTGGGTTTTTTCTTTTTTTTTTTTTTTAATACTGGTTTACATATACATTGTTTTTCACACTTGATCTTTCCCTTTTTTCTTTACCAATCCTTCCCTCCACCCATCAAGTCGTGCGACCCTTTATTTAAGCCCCCCTCTCCCACCTTGGATTCTTGTACACACTCTCCAATAATGGTCTTAAATGGTATTTGTCTTTATGAGACTGAGTTAGTGCACTTCGCATTAAGCTCTCCAGTCCCTCCCTTGTTATGTAGTGATTTACAAAATCATTGCTCCTGTGTGCTGCATAGTATTCCATTGTGTGGACGTGCCATAATATCTCAATTCATCCCATTGTGGTTGGGCATTTGGGCTGTTACCATGTTCTTGCGATGGTGAATAATGCTGCTATAAGCAGTGGTATGCAAGTCTCTGTTTGTCCCTCAGTTCTCATTTTCTCTGGGTATATTCCAAGTGGTAGAGTAGCTGAGCCATATGGAATTTCTGTGTTTGGCTTTTTGAGGAAGCACCAAACTGCCTTCCAGAGTGGTTGTTCCATTTCACAATCCTGCCAGCAGTGTATAAAAGTTCCTAACTCCCAGGCTTGGTTTTGAGCCACATCTTCGTCAGCTGGTTTGTGGCATTTGTCGTAGGAACAAATGGAGGCCATCACATGAGAGAAAATATTGGAAGCCTAGTAAATTTTGGATCCTCCCCTACCTCTTCCCTAGCATTTTACTTAAGCTGTGAAGTGTGTGTTTCTTTTAATGTAAGTATGTGCATGCGTGTGTAGTTATTACTAGAGTGTGTGCATGTACATGTGTATATAGTTATTACTCACTATGACCCTTGAGATCCCTCAGATTCTAATGGGGTTTTGCCTCTTCTATTTTAATGTAAATAAGTATGAATATTTTAATATATTTCTTATTTAAGCCAAAGAGTTGCAACTTCTAACTGTTGTTGTGTGCCATAGTGTCAGAACTGATCAATAGCTGGCCGTCCAGCAGGTTTTTAGAGGTAATAAATCCCAGGGGGAGAGATTGCCCATCCTTCTCCTGCTAAGCAGCTGGTAAATTTGAACCATGTGCCTTTGGGATTGCAGAGCAACTTCTTACCAACAGAGCTCCTTATACTCTAACTTCTAACTTCTACATTTTCCCCAAAAAACATTGAATTTACAAGTATTGACCTTATTCTCCATTTGTTCAATTATATTATAATTATTATAATATGTGTGATTGGCTCTCATGATATAGAATAGTACTTATTATTTTATAAGTAGTAATATTCTAATAACATAGTTATTTGGGGGTATGTGATGAGGTAATATCTAAATCATCCAGTACTGTACATAACTCAAACAATTATTGTTACATACAAAAAACACTTGATTGTCTTTTCAAACACATGGACCTCTAATTTTCTGTACTGTACTCATTACAATTGATAAAGCACTTTAAGGAAACCAGTATCTAATGTCTTTATTACACAAAAATAATTCTGAAATTCAATTTTAAAGAAATTAAAATGTTATCTTTTACAAGAGCAATTTCTTAATTAGTGCTAATGCATATTCTTAATTTGCATTTCCTGCAGTGATAATAATCATAGTTATATGGAGAATTATATTGCGTTTACATATAATACAATCACATTTTACCTGGAAGTTTAGTCCAAAGTCTGAATATAAGAGAAACATATGAGTATTCAAAATAACCTTTGGAAATCCCTTAAAACACAAGTAAGATATATAGGCATGCTGTGTTTCCTGTTTTGCTTCCAAGAAGGGAAAAGACAATGTATCATATGTTGTTGTTGTTGTTGCTAAGTGCCATCAAGTCATAGATGGCTCATAGTGACCCTATGAAGGAAAGTCCTCGACACTTGCGTGTATGACTTTCATCCTTTCTCCAGGTTCATAGGGTTTCTGGAGGCAAGCTATTTATGGAAGTGGATGCCACTCCTGCTTCCAAGCTTGTTTTAATCGGGGAGCACCACCAAACACTGTCCACGATGGGTAACCATTATCGCATTTGACACGTCAGTGTCACAGTGTTCAGCTTCACAGTGACCACAGGTTACCTCTGTACAGTAAGTGGACACGCCAGGGCTATATGACCTAGAAGACTGAACAACAACAGTGAAAAATGTATCATGTACACAAGATAAAGTAGGTGGCTTGCCATATATCTCTTTATACATATTGCACTCAGCTTGAATTCTGAAAGGCATGCAGACTCCGAAATCAATGGAAGCTGCATAGTCTTGGTTATTTTATCAGGAGAGGCAAGTCCCTTGAGAAAATTGGAAAAGTAAAGTGTCAGTGAAAAAGAGGAAGACCTTCAAGGATATGGAGAGACACCGTGGCTCTAACAGTGGACATAGCACGAGAGAGATTGTGAGGATGGTGCAAGATTGGGGGAAGTTTTGTTCTAGTCTGTTGTACATCGGGTAGCTGTGAGTTGGAGCCAGCTTAATGGCATTTAATAACAATAACTTCACGCAGATCATGCATTCACTCAACTGCTGAACTTTTAACCAAATAGCTTGCACAATTTCAATATTCTCTCTCCCACACCCTCCCAACCCTCTTGGTATTTCTGTTTACATTTGTGCATGCAACATCATAATGATGCAGCTCTACCTCTTACATCTTTACCTAAATTCTGCCTCTCAAGTTAGTAACCCTGCGCTAAATCCTCAGGAAAGCTGTGGCCAGAATGGCAGACATGTCCTGTGGGTAAAAGAGATGCAGGCTTCTAAAATCAATACTGAATTCATTGTCAGCTGCCTACAAAATGAAGACAGTATGTACTATTCTCAAAACTGACTTTTACTGGTGAATTTTGCCCCCACCCATTTTCATGTTGCTAAAGTACATAAATTTTGGGATGTATTATAGAATTTCAGAAGTTCTACATTTAAGCACTCTAACTTCTTCCAATCAGGGAAGTTTTATATATTCATTCATGAACTTGAAGGTTTAAAAGTCTGTGCTTATTTTTGTGCCTCACTGAGGGAATGTCAGTCTGCTTTCTGTTTCACTTACTAGGTCTATAAAAAGGGTTTGAATTATATCATTTGTCTTAAATGTGATCACCTAGAAAATGGTACAGCTGCACAGGTGTTTGGCTGTGTTTTCCCAGTTTACAAAACAAAATAAGTTGTTTTCCTTATGTAATATATTTCTTCCTTAATTTCTTCAAACATTGTAACCATTATCTGTAAAAGAAATAGACACTTCAGTGTGGTAAATGCTAACAACAAAAAAACACCTATGTGTTAAGCAAATTATACTTAACTTCATAACTAAGGAATATGACTTGTTTATTCCTTTTCCATTGCATACTGAAAATAGTGTCAAATTTCTCGTTGGACACAGTTGTAGAATTTTTTTGGTGTTGGTTGGTTTGAATTGAAGTTTGTAGAATTCCAGAAAGCCTTTTATTTAAAGGTATCTTTGTAAACAGCAAAATGTTTCACAAATATGAAATCAATGCTTGCTAATTATTCTGTTTAAATAAGGTGGTAGAAAGGGCTGGTCTTCAAGTCTTTCGGTTTCTTCAGCTCAAAGAGTCTGTGATCCTGTGCAGGTCAGCTATGTGAAGAAAATATAAATGAGTGCAGCTCGAGTCCCTGTTTGAACAAAGGAACCTGTGTTGATGGTTTGGCTGGCTATCACTGCACTTGTATGAAAGGATTCACAGGTAATATGTTTCCTTTCTTCCTACATTGTCTTAAAAACTCGGTAGTGCTTCACATATTACAAGTTTACTAATATTCCCTTTGAATTCTAAAAGCACTAAGAAGAAAAAAGAAGGGCTCTACAGAATCAAATAAATCTAACAGCTTCTTTGGGGGGAACATTTCTCTCAGTCAACGACTATTTTTTTTCTAATTCTGTTATATAATGAAGTGTGTGTGTGTGTGTGTGTGTGTGTGTGTGTGTGTGTGTGTGTGTTTCAGATCAATAACCAATATTATTAAAACACCAAATTCATCAGAATCCTCTACAAATCTGGGAGGCAGGGTTTTAAGGGAGGGAGAAGGGAGGAAAGGGGGAAGAGAGAGGGGGAAACAAGAACTTGCATGATAAGACAAACATCCAGTAAGGAACTGGGTATAATTCATGGCAGATCATTTTGCAAATGGGCACAAGATAGTATGGTAATATATTGTTGTAAAGTACCATCAAGTTAGAACTGACCCATAGCTGATCTTCCAGCAGGTTTAAAAAAAACAGAATATTACATGGGAGGAAATTAATTGCCCAGCTTTCCCATGGAGCAGCATGTGGGTTTGAACCATGTGTTTTCAGAATGGCAGTGCAGCTCCTTACCATTAAGTCAGACATATGCAAAAAAACCCTCAGACTCCCTAAATATAGATATACTAAAAAAACCCAAACTTGGTAAATATGGTAGTTATATTTTTGTTATTGTTAAATGTCACTGAGTTGCATATGATCTTATGAACAACAAGTCTGAAACATGTCCTGTCCTGTGCTATCCTCATCATTTCTGACATACTTGAACCCATTGTTATAATCATTGTATCAATCCATCTTGTTGAAGGTCTTCCTCTCTTTCGCTTACGCTCCACCTTTCCAAGCCTGATGGCTTTCCAAGGTATAACCTTTCCCAGCAACATGCCCAAAGTATATGAAATGAAGCATTGTTGTCTTTGCCTCCAAGGAGCACTCTGGCTGTACTTTCTCCAACACATACCTATTTATTCTTTCGGCAGTTTATGGGTTATGCAGCACGCTTCTCTAACACCTTAGTTCAGAGACATCAATTATTCTTCTGTCATATTTATTCATGGTCCAGCTCTCAGGCACACAGCAAGTAATTGAAAAGACCCTGGCTTGAATCAACAGCACCTTAGTCTTCATACTGACATTGTTGCTCCTCAGTAATTTGGTGTGGTTCCTGAATGCACACTTTCCTAATGCAATACATTTCCTAGTATCCTGACTTCTGGTACCACTGCTGTGGATTGTGGATCAAAGTAAGATGAAATTGCTAACAGTTTCGATTGTTTCTCCATCTATCATGGTACTGTCTGTCTTTCTAGTGGTGAGAATCTTTGTCTTCTTGATGTTGAGATAAATTGAATGCTAGTCTTTGATCTTCCACAGCAAGTGCTTCAAGTCCTCACTTTCAGCAAACAAGGTTTTGTCATCTGCATAATGCAGATTGTTTATGAGTCTTCTTCCAATCCTGGTGCATATTCTTCTTCACAGAGTCCAGCTTCTCAAATTATATGTTCAACATACAAATTGAATAGATATGGCAAGAGGACATCTTGTTGCAACATTTTGCACACCTTTGTGGCACACCTTTTCACAAACCTTGTTGCATACCTTTTCTGATTTTTAATCATGTAGTGTCCCTTGCTCTTTTCAGACAACAAGACTAAGAGGTCTAGGTATCAGTTTCATGTGAGCATGAAGTGTTCTGGGAGTCCTATTCTTCTCAGTGTTAGCCATAATTTGTTATAATTCGCTCAGTTAAATGCCTTTGCAAAGTCAATAAAACACAAACATTCTTCTGTTATTCTCTGCTTTTAGCCAGGATCCATCAGACATCAGCAAAGCTATCCCTGGTGCCATGGCCTCTTCTAAACTCAGCTTCACGTTCTGACACTTCTCTATTCCAGCCATTTTTTTAATGATCTTCAGTAATATTTTACTAGCATGTGATAGTATTAATATTGTTCTATAGTTCCCACATCTGTTGGATCACCATCTTTTGGAATGAGAACAAATAAGAATCTCGTCCAGTAAGTCAGGCAGGCAACTGTTCTCCAGATTTTCTGCTGTATACTGGTGAGCATTGAGCTATATAGTCCTCTCAGTGCTCACCAGTATACAGCAGAAAAGCTGGAGTAGACTCTATTTTGTGCCTAGCCTCCATCTTAAGCCTGACCTAGCAGGCCATAAAAGTTCTTTGCTCTAGAGGCAGCTGATTAGGAGAGAAAGCTGCCACAAGATAACCACCAAAACCGAGGGTCTAATCTCAAGGTTAGCTATCTGTGCCTGATGTCTATGTATGTAACACAAGGACATGCATATGTGACACAGGCGGAGTGTGTATGTGACACAGGAAAGGGCAGAGGTGGGCTGGCTGACTGGCCTAGGCAAAAGCCAGTCACAAATTGACCCATGTAACTGCTCCCCTCCCCCACCAATCATGTTCCAAATTACCTCATCCTGGTAAACCTGGCCTACCTTAACCCATAAAAGGCTTGTGGACCTGCTCTACTGACTGGTGGACCCTGCATGCATACTGGAGTTTGTTCTGCAGTATAAAGCACTCTTACTATTTGCATACATGAGTCAGTGTTCTTTCGAATGGCAATTTATAGACCTAACAAGCATATCCAGGGTTGCATCTACTAGTCGAAACATATCAATAGGTGTCCCATAGATTCATGGGGTTTTATTTTTTTTACCAGTGCCTTTGGTACAGCTTCAACTTCTTCCTTCATTACCACTGGCTCTTATTCAGTTGGTGCTTCCTGAAATAGTTCCATGTTGGTCACTTCTTTTTGGTACAATGACTCTTTATATTCCTTACATCTTCTTTTAATATTTTCTGGGTCATTCAAGATTTTACCCATATCTCTCAGTATTGAAACTCAAGGCTTGAATTTGTTTTTCTGCTCTTTCAACTCGAGAAATGCTGAGTGAATTCTTACCTTTTTATTCTCCAATTCCAGCTCTCTTCACATTCCTTTATTGTCTTCTTGAGCTGTCCTTTGACATCTTCTGTTCAGTTCTTTTCCTTCAGTATCTCTTTGTTTTGGCTCCTTTATATCTTAATGCCATTTTCAGAGTCTCTTCTGACATCCATGTTGGGTTTTTCTTTCTGCTCTGTCTTTGTAATAACCTTTTCCTCTCTTCATGAATGATATCCTTGATGTCATCCACACCTCATCTATTCTTCAATCAGAAGTCCAGATTGTAAATATCAATATACTAAAAAAAAAAAACTCAAACTGACTTCTGTGAAGTCTGTTCTGACCTCCATCAAGTTTCCAAAGCTGTCAGCCATACAGACAAAGACTGATTCTTTGTCCCTGGGAGCTGCTGGGGAATTGGAGCCATCAGAGATACTAATATTTAGATTAGCAGTGCAGCCTGCTGTATACAGTGCCACCAGAGCTCCTAAATATGGTGTATAAAAATACATATGAAACTTAATCAACAGATTTTTTTTAAGTCTAGAAAATTGCTAATGAAAGAAAGAGGAAAGGGTAAAAAACTGGAAAAATAAATGTTATAACCATTATCACAATTAAGGAGCTTTGTTGACCTAGTGGTAAGAAGCTGCACTGCAATCCCAAAGGCATGTGGTTAGACTCCACCTCCTGCTCCATGGGAGAAGGATGGGCAGTCTCTTCCAGTATAATTTACTGCTTCTGAAAAACCTCTGGAGGGTCGGCAACGAGTCAGTTCCAACTTAGTGGCACACAACATTATCTCGATTAGATATACATTTACTAATCTCTGTTTCAGAAAAAAAAAAAGCCAAAACGTGCAATGAAAAGAGTAGATTTTAAAAAATGCAAAATTCAAAAGCTCATTCAAGAATTGACTCTCAAACCAATTTTCTAGGTGAGTGGTTTAGCTTCCCAGCAGCCTCCATTCAAATCCTTTCAAAAACAGTAATTGGTGAAAACCTTGATGACTGTTTTCCCCAGGGAGTTAATTATTTGGGTTCTTTCTCTTCCTCATGCATCCCCAGGTCTGCACTGTGAAATAGAAGTCAACGAATGCCAACCAAACCCGTGTTTAAATAATGCAGTCTGTGAAGACCTGGTTGGAGGATTCCTGTGTAAATGCCCACCTGGGTTTCTGGGTCCCCATTGTGAAAAAAATGTGGATGAATGTCTCAGTCAGCCATGCAAAAATGGAGCTACCTGTAAAGACGGCATCAATAGCTTCAGGTGAAAGGCTCTATCTGATTCTTCTCTGTATTTTTATTTTCTTAACTGTTAGTCATTCTGTACTCTTTGTGAAATAGTTTTTTTAATCCTGAATCAATGCAGGAATAATGTCTTTTCAAAGTATTAGTACAAATATGATTCCTAGGAAGCAGAGGTTTCCAAGTGTCCAGCATTTCCAAACTACTTTACCACTCCATCATCTCTAACACCAGCTATTCCTCTTCCTCCAGTCTTGCTTTCATCTGTCTTTGGCTTTTATAAGTCACTGCAACATCTCACAGAAACTCACAAGCCATCAAGGAAATGGCTCATGCAATTTTGGGAGCCAGCATGTTCCCCAGATTCATAGATCAGACTGGTCCAGGCAGCTGGAGTTGGAGGAGGTTTCTCCAGTTGCAACATTTTCCATTTTCCTCCTGTCTCCAACCTTTTTCATCACAGTGTCCCAACAAATAGCAAGATACTGTCAAAAATAATTATGTGTACACCAATGTTCATAGCAGCATTATTCAACATCATATGAATGTGCAAGCAGCCCAGATGTCCAACCACAATCTAATGGATTGAGAAATCATGGTACATTCACATGATAGAATACTATGCAGCATGCAGCAGCAATGATTTTGTAAATTACTACCTAACTTGGGAAGGACTGGAGAGCATTATCAATTATCAATTTCTTTTAAAACAATCTTGTTATAAACAGAGGACTTCCTCTAATGCCTTTCTTCAACTGTTCTACCAATATTGTTTTATTTCCTTTCAGATGCAATTGTGTAGCAGGTTTCACAGGGCCATACTGTGAACTGAACATCAATGAATGTCAGTCTGACCCATGTAGAAACCAAGCCACCTGTGTGGATGAATTAAACTCATACAGTTGCAAATGCCAGCCAGGATTTACAGGCAGTCGATGTGAAACAGGTATATAAACTCATTGTTATAAAAAAAACAGTAATTCAAATAGCAATATAGTAGTAATATCTCATTTTATCTGGACCGAACACTGCCTTATTTCCCAAAAACTATGCCAAGCATTTTGTGCTGTTTAATATTTTCACAGCCATTCTATAAACTACTGCAGTTAGTTGCCCTCAAGCTGATTTCAATTCAGTGACTGTGTAGAATAGAACTGCTCCATGGGTTCCCTAGGCTGTGACTTTTGAGAAGCACATTACCCGGTCTGTTTTTTGATGCATCTCTGGGTTAGTTCAAACTTCCATCCTTTCAGGTAGTGCTTAACTGTTTATGCTACTCACTAAACCTGGTGGCCATCCAATACACCAGGTACAATTATAATCTTCAATAGCACAGGTGAGGAAATTGAAACTTAGAACTTTATGGGGAGAAAATTGTACTTATTGTGCTGGATTCTTCACATTCTATGTGATTTCCCCCCCCCCCTCAAATACTTTGGTAAGGATTTGATTTAGGCAGTTAGAGTCCCTGGGCATGCTTCTTGTTGTTATGTGCCATCGAGTCGCTTGTGACTCATACCGACCCTAGGTACAAGAGCCCTAAACACTGCTCTACCCTGTGCCAACCTCACCATCTCTGACACACTCACTCCCACCACCCCAATCACAGAATCGATCCATCTCATCGAAGATCTTCCTCTCCTGTACCATCCCTCTAATCTCCCAAACATGATGTCCCTCTGAGGATGAGTCCCTCCTTGCAACATGCCCAAAGTATATCAGACGAAGCTTCAGAATCATTGACTCCAAGGAGCATTCCAGCTTCATCTTCTCCAGGACAAACCTGTTTGTTCTCCTAGCAGTCCATGGTATATTCAACACTCTTCTCCAGAATCACAGCTCAAAGGCATCAGTTCTCTTTCTATCATCCCTATTCACTGTCCAACTCTCTGATGCATAGCACATAATTGCAAAGATAAACCCATCTTAAATGGCTTTCCAAGGGAACTGGGTCTTTAACGGTAGCACTTTAATTCTATCAAGTAGGATATGCAGAGTTAAGTCACAGCTGAATTGCTCAGTAAATAGAGAAAAGCCAGAGTTCTGAGTAGGAGTAGGACATTGCATCTAAAACTCACCATCTTAGAGACCCACAGATTATCTAATTTAAAAAGAATACTGTCTACTTTGTAAATAATAAATAGCTTTGAAACTTCTCAATCCACCACAATCATACGACCTTCCTTTGGCAATAATATTACTTATCTGCTGCTTACTTGTTTGAACTGAAGTCAATTCCAGTTCAAACCAATGAAAGATGCCTGGCAAGTACCATGATCTCTATACTGTTCTTATTCACTACAGAACAGCCTACGAGTTTTAACCTGGATTTTGAGGTTTCTGGAATCTATGGTTATGTCATGCTGGATGGAGTGCTTCCATCTCTCAGTGCTTTAACCTGCGCTTTCTGGATGAAATCCTCTGACATCAACAACTATGGAACACCAATTTCCTATGCACTTGAGAATGGCAATGATAATACTTTCCTCCTGACTGATTATAATGGGTAAGCAGAAGTATCAGGTAGTAGTAATCACATGCAGTTCTAGGGGATGTGAATAACTTGCCTAGAATAAAGCATAAATAAATGTCAAGTGGAAAAGACCATGAAGTGGTACAGGGGACCAGCCTTGGAGAGCTCAGGCTCAGAATTTCATCCTGGCACCAGGGTGGAGATGAGATCAGAGCAAGAGAAAAAAGGATGGTCCAGTGCTCCAGAAGGACAGTAATTTTTATTGTAATTTTTTTATATATATATACATAAGTGGTGGTGTTGATTGCCGTCAAGTTGGGGTCGACTCATAGCGACTCTGTGAACAAAAGAGCTAATGCCTTTCCATAGCTATAAGTGTTTCTCCAGGTTCATAGAGTTTCCAGAGGCAAGTGGTTTAGGAAGAGGATGCAAACTCTTGCTTCCCAGCCTGTTTTACAAGTGGGAGCTCCACCAAACAACGGGAAAACATTATGGTATTTGATATCCTCATGGCACAAGGTTCAGCATCACAGAAAACCCAGGTTACTTCATACAGCACATTGACAAAGAATGGTGTGAAAAGTGGGAGAATGTTCCTTCAGATTAACAGCACTAGTCTCACTTAGCAGTGTTTAAGTGTTGTTGAGTCAAATATGACTCAGAGTAAGCTTTGCACAAAAGACCTCTTTTCTCTAATTAACATCATTTCTGTACATTATAAGAGAGTTTGTAGAGTTTCCAGAGCCATCTAGTTTAGGAAGTGGATGCCACTCCTGCTTTCCAACATGAATCAATCTGGAAGCTCATCCAAGCATTGTGCATAATGGGTAACCATTATGGTATTTGGCACAATTATGGAATAATGTTCAGCATCACAGCAACTCCCAAATTGTCCAATACAGTAAATATACAAGTGATTGTTGTGTCTTTAAAAAAATATTCTTCTAAAATTAAGACGACACCACCACCAAGACATCAACCAGCCAGCCAACTTCCAGAGTGGAGGGAGACTCCAAGCCCCAGGCCCCAGGCCAGCCCACAGGCCCATCACCTCATCAATTATTTTAAAGTCACACCTTTGAGCAGGCCTCCACCTTTACCCTTAGTCTAAGGCTCAAGGCTACCCACTTTTGAGGGAGGAAAAAAAACAGTAACACACAACAAAAAGGACCCCAGACTCTTCCCTTGCCTGACTGCCACCAAGAAGAGATCACCACTGCGACGTCAGCCAGCCAGCTGACTTCTAGAGTGGAGGGAGAAAATTCTGACTATATTTTCCACCTTTTAATGAGGATTCTTCTATAGAATTTTTTTATAAAATCATTCAGACATTCAAATGGCTACCAAATACATGAAAATAATGTTAAAAATAATTAGCAATCGAACAGGTGGAAATAAAAACCGCAATGAGATACAATTTCACTCACACTCAGATGAGCAATCTCCTCCCATACAGTTTATAGACTCTGACAATTGCACATAATAACAATAGGATAATAATAATAATAGGATGTCTAAGATTTAAAAAGTCAAACAAAATATGATAAATAGTGTCATGGATCTGGGGAAACTGAAACCCTTATCCACTGCTTGTGTGGATGCAAAATGGTACAGCGTTGTAGAAAACAGTGTGATAGTTCTTAAAAAAACTAAAAATACAATTACCATATGATCTAGAAATTACATTTCAAAAACAAAACATTTCAAAAACTGAAAGCAGAAATTCAGTATTTGTATGCCAGTATTCATTGCAGCAGTATTCACAGTAGCCAAAAGGGAGAAACAACCTAAAAGTTCATCAACAGATGATAAATAAGATGCAGTACATACATACAAAGGGAGCTCTGGTAGCATAGTTGCAGGAAACTGCACTGCAGTCCCAAAGGCATGCAGTTCTTCAAGGCCACCAGCTCTTTTGCTGGAGAAGGATGGGCAGTCTCCTCCCATTCAGTTAACTGCCTCTGAAAACCCACTGGAGGATCAGCTATAGGTTGGGCTCCAACTTGACGGTACACAACAATAACAAACACATATACAATAGCATCCTTACTGCTCAACCAGGAAAAGAAAAGTCTTGCTATAACTATCATATGGATGGAGTTTGAAGACATTGTACTGGGTGAAATAAGTACATTACAAAAAGCAAATATTGTTGACCTTACTTAAATGAAAGGATAAGAAAATGCAAGTGTATGGAGGCCAGAATTTATTTAATAACAGCCAGAAGCAACGGAGAAGAGAAAAGGAGGAGTCATTGCTTATGGAGGACTGAGTTTTGGTTTATAATAATGGGGGAAATCTCTATTTTATTTTTGTTTGTCCCTTTGATTTGCTTATCATCTTTGTCTCTTTACATAATTGTTGGAAATCTCTCCTAGTTGGCCACCCTGGTTTAGTTTTCTATAATTCTTTTCTTTAAATCAATTTACTTTATCTGCTGGTGGGTGCTTTGGCAATCACAAAATAAAACTTACCTTCTCTGGAACACTGGAAGCTTTGTCATGGTTGCTAGAGAAAAAACAGCCAAACATTTGTTTCAATTAACTCTTTCCCCTCTTGATTTGCCCTCTGCAAAACACCCAGTTGATGTTATTGTTGTTGTTATGTGCCGTCGAGTCATTTGAGACTCATAGCGACACTATGTACAACAGCCCTAAACCCTGCTCTATCCTGTGCCAATCGCATTGCCCCTGACACACCCATCCCAATTACCCCAGTCACTGAATCAATCCATCTCATAGAGGGTCTTCCCCTCCTGCGCTGTCCCTCCACCCTACCCAAGGACCTGTCTCTCCTTACAACATGCCCCTCTCCAAGGACCTGTCTCTCCTTACAACATGTCCAAAGTATGTCAGACAAAGCCTCAGAATCCTTGCCTCCAAGGAGTAGCCTGGTTTAACTTGGCAGTCCATGGAACATTCAATACTCTTCTCCAGCACCACAGTTCAAAGGCACCAGTTTTCCTTCTATCCTCCCTAGTCATTGTCCAACTCTCTGATGCATAACAAGTGATTTCAAAAACCATGGCCTGTATCAGGCAGACCTTAGTCTCCAGAGAGACACTGTTGCTCCTGAGTACTTTAGAGAGGTCCCTAACCGCAGACTTTCCCATCGCAATACGTTTTTTTATTTCCTGGCTGCTGGTGCCAACAGTGTTGACCATGGAGCCAAGCAAACTGAAGCTATGAACAATCTCAATCTCTTCGCCATCCATCCTGATGCTACCGATCGGTCCAGTGGTGGGAATTTTTGTCTTCTTGACATTGAGCCTCAATCCATATTGAGGCTGCAGTCCTTGACCCTCTGCAGTAAGTGCATGAGGTCCTTCTCAGTTTCAGCGAGCAGGGTTGTGTCATCTGCATACCGTAGATTGTTGATAGATCTTCCACCAATCCTAACCCCACGCTTCTCCTCATAGAGCCCAGCCTCTCGGATAATCTGCTCTGCATACAGGTTGAAAAGGTATGGAGATAGGACACATCCCTGGCATACACCCTTCCCAATTTTGAACCATTCAGTGTTGCCCTGCTCTGTTCTGACAACTGCCTCTTGGTCCAAGTATAGGTTTCGCATTAGCACGATTAAATGTTCTGGGATTCCCATTTTTCTCAGAGTCAGCCACAGTTGATAACCTGTCTCAAATTAACTCACTTTTCTTAGCTCATCCTAAGACTTACTCTTACCCTTCAATAATCTAGAATAAAATGTGGTTAGTTAATATAATTTACTCCTATGAAATATGACCAAATAGGGAAAAGTGAGCAATATGTTTACAAAATAAGATAAATCAGCACATGGAAGGAATTGTCCTTTATAACTGATGTGTCCCTGGAATCTTTCTCTCAACAGCTGGGTTCTTTATGTGAATGGCAAGGAAAGGATAACAGACTGCCCCTCAGTGAATGATGGCAAATGGCACCATATTGGAATCACTTGGACAAGTGCTGGTGGAGCTTGGAAAGTATATATCGATGGGAAATTATCAGATGGTGGCTCTGGCCTCTCTGTTGATTCAGCCATACCTGGTATGTCTTAGCAAACTGAATATAGTTCTGTGAGACTCTGGAGATGGTGGTCTGTAGATAGACCAAGAATGCTCCTTTTTGTTGTCCTTGATTTTAGACAAAGATCAACAGTTATATGTCACATTTACCTTCCTCTGATTATCCAGATTCTGAATTATCAGAAGCTCTTTCCTAAGCCAGCTACATGATTTTCTGTAGAAGAGACACCTTCTACACGTGTGCTGAGACTACCAGGAAACATGCTGAACTAACAATAGAAAGTACTGAAATGTCTTCTAGGGAGCAGGTTAACTGCTGCTGTCTTAGTTTTGCTTGGGGTTTGAGTTTTTGCTGTTGTTGGATTGAGATGAGTTTTCTTGTTCTCAGTTATACACCTGAAGTGCTCCTAATGGTAATACATTTTTTTCTCTGCTGCATTAAAATAGAACTCACATTCTTCTTCAAATAAACATTCAGAGAGTTTTAATTTGAAGGTGCGCAAAAGTTCTAGCCAAGCAGGGTTTTCAGCATTGTACATAATCATATGTTTGCTCGATGTGGATACGGAAGGATATAGGATATCATTTTACTTTTTTCTCATTGATTTAGAATATTTTTAAATGGTATTTTAATGAAAGTAGATTAATCAAACAAGATTGAACAAAAACACTTATTAATATGTTCTGGAAATAAATTAGATTAAATTATTAACAAATATACTTATGAATATTGCATTGTTGGCTAAGAAATAAGAGAACAAAGGGTTGTTACTGAAGGATAATTTCTCAGAGAAAAGTAGGCAAAATGAGCATATCTATTTTGCATAACAAAATATTATATGCATATATATAGTTTTACAGTTAAATATTAATACATTCAAAATAATATTCTAAATACGAGCTATTTCTTAAGTTGCTATAGAAAACATTGAATTTGTCCTTGCAGATAAATTATGTAGTCAATTCCAATAATTTCACTTTTTAATAATTAATACATTTATAGTGGCCATGCTTATATTGTTACCATTTTAGTATTAACAATCAGTGTTTCTCATTTTTCTTCTCTGACTCTTTCTCACTCTTCAGGTGGTGGTGCTTTAGTTCTTGGGCAAGAGCAAGACAAAAAAGGAGAAGGATTCAGTCCGGCAGAGTCTTTTGTGGGCTCCATAAGCCAGCTCAACCTCTGGGACTATGTCCTGTCTCCACAGCAGGTCAATTCCATTTTCAGTGTATGACAGTAATGAGATGCAAAGGTACAAACCTAGAACAAATGTGAACAGCCTAATGATACCATATCTTATTGTAAAGTCTTGGTTTCCACAATTTCACACCAGTGTCGTCGGATGGAATGGTCAGGGAGTGAGCCAGGCAGAAGCTTTCTGCAATAGCTTTTAGTGAAGCCCTCTTTCATGTCTGAGTGACTTCTTAAGTTTTATTAGAAATGAATATTTTGTAAAGTCAGAAGTATGGGCAGTCTCCTCTCATGTAATTAACTGCCTCTGAAAACCCACTGGACAGTTAGCTGTCGGTTAGTTCCATCTCAGTGGGACACAACAACAACAACAGCAACATATTCTTTTAAAGATAGAATCCATCATAGGGAAAAAAGCACTTGAAATCCCACTGAGTAAATTTAGGCTGGCTGAAGATCATAAATACATAGCTAGCAACAGAGGAGTTAGTGATTTAATACAGTCTGGAGTCAACCAGCCCGAGTCTACCATTAATATGCCATGGTGATTTTGAACAAGTTACGGAGTCTCTCTAGACTTCAGTTTAATTATCAATGAAAGAGAAATAAATACAACTGCACTGCAGGATTTTTCACATAATTGAACAAAACCTTGCATGTATATCTCATGGTATGACTTAGAAGTCCCCGGATGATGCGTAAAAAGTGAAACACTCAACCACTAGCTGAAAAGCTGATGGTTCAGACTCAGTTAGAGGCATCTTGACAGCCAGTCTGGTGATGTGCTTCTGAAAGGCCAAAGGCCTTGAAACTTGTTTGGGGCAGTTCTCCTCTGCGCGCTCGGATATCTATGGATCACAATCTTACTCAGCAGCACCCAGCAATAACGTGGCCTGGCACGGAGTAAGCCCCTGATAAAGGTTTAGTTGTGGTTAACTCACTTACTCAAAACTTATCACCACCAAGTCAGAACAGACTCAGAACTGACCTTCTGGTGAGTTTTTCAAGGCTGTAAATTACCCATCTTTCTCCTGTGGAGCTGCTAGCTGATTCAAACCACCAGAGAGAATCAACCTTTGAGTTAGTAAAGCAACTCCCTATCGAGTAGCAAAAATTCTCTAAGCCTCTGTTTTCTGAACTGTACGCCAGTGGTAAACTAGCCAATGTACAGGGGAAGTGCTACATTGTCTAACAAATTGTAGTTCTTTAGACAAAATGATTGCCTATGTGTAGGTTTCCACATTTCTGGCAACAGTGGCCTAGTAGGAAAATAATTGGAACAAGGTTGTGGAGAAAGGAAGAGAGAAGAACTTTCTAGTCACCTATGAAACCATACCATATAAAAAACCTATAATCCCTCATCCTCAGAACATTCATTGATGTTTCCTACAAGACTAAGTTAAAAGGTAAGGGAGCTCTGGTGGTCAGGTGGTGAGAAGCTGCATTGCAAAAGCACAAAGTTCTAATCCACTGGCTGTTCCTCAGGAGAAGGATGGACAATCTCCTCAAAACCTCCTGGAAGGTCAGCTACAACAAAAAGTTAAAATAAGGAAGCCCTGGTGGCCTCGTATTAAGGAGCTGCACTGCCAACTGGAAACACGCCATTTAAATTCACCATCTGTTCCACAGGACAAAGATGGACAGTGGCCTTTCCTGCAGTTCAATTTACTGCCACTGATAACCTGCTAGAGAGTCAGCTGTGAATCGGTTCTGATTCGACAATAAACCACAACAAACATCAAGTTAAGATAAGGGAGCTCTGGTGGTCTAGTACCTGGGTAGAGTCATGCTGCCAAATCCCAATTGATGGTGACTCTCTGGTTTGAATCTCTCAGGGCTCCTGGGGAGAGAAAGGGGCAATCTCCTCTCTTGGGATTTAGGACCTCTGAAAACCCACTGGGGGGTCAACCATGAGTCAATTCCAGCTTGAGGGCAATAAGTGAGTGAATATGAAGTTAAGAATAACTACTTCTGTGAAACAAATAAGCCCCCTAAACATGTTTTCTTCAACTTTCAGGTGAAAGCACTGGCTACCTCATGCCCGGAGGAACTCACTAAAGGAAATGTATTAGCCTGGCCGGATTTCCTGTCGGGAATTGTAGGGAAAGTGAAGATTGATTCCAAGAGCATATTCTGTTCTGGTTAGAATTTCCTTTTTTTCCCCCCATAAACTTTGCCAGCTCTGGCCTAACTTCTGCTTTTTTTTAATCAGAAAGCAACAATTCAAAATTTACTGTGACTCCAACAGTGTGTGCCTGTCAGGCTGCTGCTTACAGGGGCCACTGTTAGCTCTGTCCTTCCCTGCACGCATCTAAACAAGGGGGAGAGGACAGCTGCAAGCTGCTGTAGCTCGTTCTTACCCTCCCATCACCTAAGTACCTTCTGTACAGCTGGATACACAGTAATTAGAAATTTGGACAAAGGTAGAGTAAGATTGGGAAAGGGGATGGAATGAGCAATAAAGTTAATTTTTAAAATATCTGCTAAATTCCAGTGCTCCTGTATGAGAGGGGCCGCTGTTAGCTCTGTCCTTTCCTGCACCCATCTAAACAAGTGTGAGAGAGCAGTCCTAGGCCATGGAGGGAGGAAAGTAATGAGTGTTAAAATCTGCACCCTGGATAGGCAAACTCTTAAGTGATCAAAGCTGTCTCAAATAAATATAGTGAAACTAGTTTCTGAAAGGTATCCTAGAATCTGTGAATGTCATCTCTGAATATCCCATGGACTGCCAAAAGAACTAGTATCTTGGAAATATCTTGGAAAAGGGGCAGCCGGAGTGCTCTTTGGAGGCAGGCATGGCAAAACTTGGTCTCTAATGCTTTGGACATGTTGCTGGGAGAAGCTGTTCCTTAGAAAGCGATCCCATGGTAAGAAAGGTCGAGGGTCAGTGAAAGAAGAAGAAGCCCAGAGAGATGGACTGACACAGTGCCTGCAGCAATGGGCTCAATCAAGTGTATCAGAGAGTAAGGATGGCCCAGGATAGGACGGTGTTCAGACCTGCTGTCCATAGGGCTGCTATGAGTGGTACTTGACTCAGCGGCACCTAACGACAACAAAGAGCATCTCATTAATATTATTAAAATATTGACAGCATTTCCCATAAATCACCAGATTTTTGCTGAAAGAAGGAAAGCTGTTTGTTAAGAAAGAAAAAAAAAAGTACCCTATGTGATCTTGTTTTCCTATCAGTAGTTCTTGTTATGTGCTGTTGAGTCACCTGCTGCTCATAGTGATCCTATGTACGACAGCCCTAAGCCCTGCTCTATCCTGTGCCAATCTTACTGTCTCTGATACAGCCACCCCATTACCCCAGTCACTGAATCAATCCATCTCATCCAGGGTCTTCCTTACCTGCACTGTCCCTCCACACTCCCAAGCATGACATCACTCTACAAGGACCAGTCCCTCCTTGCAACATGTCCAAAGTATGTTAGACGAAGCTTCAGAATCCTTGCCTCCAAGGAGCAGCCTAGTTTAGCCCTCTCCAGGATGAACCTGTTTGTTCTCCTAGCAGTCCATGGTATGTTCAATACTCTTCTCCAGCACCACAGCTCAAAGACATCAACTCTCTTTCTATCAGCCCTAGTCATTGTCCAGCTTTCCAGTGCATAGCAAGTAATTGCAAAGACCATAGCCTGTATCAGGCACACTTCAGTCTTCAGACTGACATCATTGTTCTTCAGTATTTTGGAGAGGTCTCTGATAGCATACTTTCCCAGTGCAATTTGTCTTTTAATATCCTGGCTGCTGGTACCAAGAGGAGTGTTGACTGTGGAGCCAAGCAAACTGAAGCTGTTAACAGGAGCTCTCAAATGCTAGTGAGAAATAAGACTTGAAAACTCTAACTGCGTGGCAGTGCCACCATGTTTCTGACAAGTCACCTGTTTCCTTTGACCTCAGATTGCCCACCTTTGGAAGGAGCAGTACCTCATTTGCGAACACTCTCAGCAGACTTAAAGCCAGGCTCCAGAGTCAGCCTGTTCTGCGATCCAGGCTTCCAGCTGATCGGGAACCCTGTGCAGTCCTGCCTGAACCAAGGACAGTGGACACAACCCCTTCCTCACTGTGAACGTGAGCAACCTTTGTCTGAAGTCTTTTCAGTGGCTCTTGAAAAATAGTGCAATCATAAGAACATTGTTCAGGAAAGCTAGATAAGAACTAGGTGCTTTATGCTAACAAATAGAGCAAATGTTCTTTGACAGCTTTGTCTATGTAATTAATTGTGCTGGTCAACATGAGGCAGAAGAGTAAATGAAGACCAAAGATCCTGAAAGGTAGCTGTGCATGCACACAGGTGGGATGTGAGGGAAGGATAGACTGTGAGCTGGAGGCCTGCAGGAGCATGGCTCATCTCTACATGGGAAATAAGAAAGAGATCGCCTCTGGTGTATTTATTCATTTGTTCATTCAACAATTTTTCCCTTTTTTAAATTATACTTCATCCATGTCCATTTTTTCCCCACTCCCTCCCTCTTCCCACTGAACTCTTTTGCCTCGTGCTTTCCCCCCACCCCACCCTAAGCCCCCCTGAGTCCTTTGTATGTCCATGAAGATCTCATTGGTTAACCTTCTGTTTTTACAGTAATGGCCCTCTGTAGTATTTGTTCTTATGCACCTGAGTTAGTTCACTCAGCATAATGCTCTCAAGCTTCTCATGTTATTTAGAATTTTTCAAAATTGTTGCTCCTGAGTGCTGCATAGTATTCCATCATGTGAATTTACCAGTTTCTCAGTCCCTTCATTTGTTGATGGACATCTGGGCTGTTTCCCTGTTCTCACTGTAGTGAATAATGCTGCTATGAACATCAGTGTACAAATTTCCATTTGTATCTCAGTTCTGTTTTCCTTGGAATATATTACTAGCAGTGGTACAGCTGGGTCATATGGAATCTCTATATTCAGCAGTTTGACAAAATGCCAAGGTGTCTTCCAGAGTCGTTGTACTATTTTACAATCTCACCAATAGTGTATGAGAAATCCAGTCTCTTCACATCCTCTCCAACATTTGTTGCTTGCTGTCCTTCACTCAGCAACTTTTTAAGTACCCAACACCAGTGGTCTACTGGCAAGAAGCTGCACTGCGATTCCGGAGGCACCTAGTTTGAATCCACCAGCTGCTCTGCAGAAGAAGGTTGGGCAGTCTCCTCCCAAGCAATGAACTGTCTTTGAAAACTGGCCAGAGGGTCAGCTATGTGTTGGTCCTGACTCGATGGTACACAACAACAAGTGCTAGCTCTGATCTAAGTTCTGGAGGGAGACCAATTAGGAAAAATAAGCTGTGTTCCTATAGAGTTTGCATTCTTGTTGGAGAGATAGAAGATAAACATGTAAATACAATATTACTTGCTCATAATAAATGATGGTAACAAGGACTGTGTAAGAGCTGTGGAGAAACTTAAGTCAGAATAGAGGAATACAAATAGAGAAATACAAAACTGCTGTTTCTGAAAGGGCAGATAGTGACGTTTCTCCATGAGACTTAAAACCATCCAGCATATCAATTTTTTTTTATAAATTCCATCTAGCAAGGAAGGAAATTTTGACTGATTCATTGCAATAACATCAGTGTAATGTTTCTGTACATTGAAAAAATTGCCTCCTTAAATGAACTCCTAGTAAAATATGAACATAATGTCCTTAGATTTTATTCCTAATGATCTTCACCTTGGTCCCACTCCAGGCATTCGCTGTGGGGTGCCACCCTCTTTGGAGAATGGCTTCTATTCAGCTGAGGACTTCCACGCTGGCAGCACAGTGACCTACCAGTGTAACAGTGGCTACTATTTGTTGGGTGACTCAAGAATGTTCTGTACAGATAACGGGAGCTGGAATGGCATCTCACCATCATGCCTCGGTGAGTTAACATTTATCAATTTCTCATTGGGCTTATTCTCACTCTGTAGGTGACAATCACCTCAAATCTATTTATGACCCAAAATTCCTAGAATTTTGCGGTCTTTCTTTGATATCTTTATCTTTTTACTCCACTAAATTCTGGAAAACCCTTGGTGACAAAGCCACTGTGCAAATATGTCATAGAAAGCTTTTAAAAATTGACCAAGCTCTACATCTGTGTGCCAATAAACCTCCTATCCTTTTATTTAAGAAAAAAAATTGACCAAGCTCAAATAGTAACACTAAATCTATAATAAACTAGGAAAACAATAGGTGTCTGTCTGATTTGATTTTGGTTATTTTTTTGTTGTTGAGTTTTGTGATAGATTTTATTTTTGTGAAATTTAATAAATCCCTTTGGTTTTTTCAATCATCCATAGCCAATAATTTCCATTAATTGATACAATTAATTTAATGTATTGCCTAAGCTAAACGTTCTTGTATATTCCTATTTCATTTATCCACATTCTGTATTTTTTTCTCACTCCACTCTACTCCCAGTTAAATCATAGTGTATGTCCTATCCCAGCCCAGATTATTGATTGTAGTACACATAATGTCTGATCATCCTCTTTGGTAAAGAATAAAAAAATAGAATTTTTTAACTATATAGTATAAGTACCTAGAATGTACTTATGACCTTTATATTTAAATATATAAAGTGTTTCAGTTAAATGACATATAATGATTTTAAACCAAAACCAAATGGTTTTATTAAAGAAAAATATATTGACATGAGTATTTGTAAATGGTCTTTTTTCTTTTTTATCATACTGCTTTTTTTACTGTTATATGAGTGAAGGTTTGTTGTTTTGAACTGACCCATAGCTGACCCTCCAGAGGGTTTTCAGAGGCGGTTAATTGCATGGGAGGAAATTGCCCATCTTTCTCCTGTGGAGCAGCTGATGAAGTCAAGCTGCATGCCTTCAGGATTACAGCACAGTTTCTTACCAGTCGGCACCCAAGTGAAGGTTTATAAAGAAAATTATTTTGTCACTCAACTATTCTTACACATTTTGCTCAGCACTATTCAGCACCCACAACAAATTGCACATTTCCCACTTCCTTTAATTCTGACTTCCATAAATCCTTTTCTGGTGATATCTTCCTTTCCTTTAGTGATAATGTGCTTAGTGCCTTCCTTTTCATTTGTCTTGATTGCCTGTTACTTATTTACTAATTTTTACTCCTCATTCCCTCCCTTGCCATCCCTGGTGACCACCCAAGAATGATTCCATGTTTAAATTTTTCCTTAGTGTTTTTGTAACAGTGGCCTTATGGCATAATAATCCTTTGTGACTGACTTATTTCATTTTGCATTATGGCCGCTAGATGCATCCTTGCTTTGCAGTGTTTCATGATTCCTTTGTTGTTTTCACACACTTCATTGTGTGAATGTACATCATTGTTTTAGCCACTCTTCTGTTAATGGACACTTGAGTTGTTTCCATTTCTTTGCTGTTGTCAGTTATGTTGCAGTGAACATTGCTGTGCATAACAACATGAGTTTTATGTCATAGCTCTTCTTATTTGGGACATATGCCTAATAGTAGGATTGCTGAATCAAATAGGAATTCAGTCCCAACTTCCTAAGGAAGCACTCAACTAATTTCCATGGTAGTTTCACCACCTTCTTTTCCCATAAGCAGTGTAGGAGAATTCCAATTTCTCCACATCCTTGTCTTTATTTTTTGTTTTCTGTCTTGTTGATCTTTGCTATTGTAGCTGGGATGAGATGATATCTCATTGTTGATTTGATTTGCATCACTCTAAGAGTTAATGATCTTGATTATTTCTTCATGTGTTTGTTGACCATCTGAAATACTGCATGTTTTTATGTATGTGAAGTTCATGCCCTTTGTCAATTTTGTAACTAACTGGGTTATTTGTCTTTTCCTTGTTGAGATGTAGTTTTCTATACACTTCAGAGATTAGTCTATTGGAAGATCTATCATTGCCAAATATTTCTCCCAGTTTTTAGGTTCTGTTTCTTACTCTTTTAGAGGAATCTTCTCTTGCATCTAAGAATTTAATTTTTAGGAGATCTCAGTCATCTAGTTTATTATCTGCTGATTTTGCATTTTTAGTTATAACTTACACTCTCTTTATGTCATAGCTTAGGACTTCTAGATTTTCCCCAGTGTTTTCTTTGATGAACATTGGAATTTTAGGCAGACTCTTGATTCTCCTTGAGTTACTTTTGTACGTTGTGTAAGGTATAGATTTTAAGTTTTTGCAAATAAATATCTAGTTTTGCCAACATCATTTTTTAAAGAGGCTGTCTTCCATTGTTGTTGTGTACCGAGAGTTGGAACCGACCCACAGCTGAGCCTCCAGCAGGTTTTCAGAGACAGTTAATCCCACGGGAGCATTGTATGCCCTTCCATTTATGCAGGTCTGTCTTATTTCTTATGTAGTGTTTGTGGTTTTCTTTGTATAAGTCTTTTGTATCTCTGACTAGATTGTTCTGTAAATTTAATCTTTTGGATGGGGGTTGTAAATGGTGTTCTTTCACTTATTTTGGTCTTCATTTTAGATGTTGATGAATGTGCAGTTGGATCAGATTGTAGTGAGCATGCATCTTGTCTGAATACAAATGGTTCCTATATATGTTCCTGCACCCCGCCATACACAGGAGATGGTAAAACATGTGCAGGTAACTATAGATTTATAACTGGGAATTTCTGTTTCTGTCTTTTTATTCAAGTATATTGTAAATGTATGTTATTTAAAACTAAGATAATATTTTCTACTTCAAAGAGCATCCAGAAGGGTAGTGAAGATAGGTATCTTATAAAGGCATTACTGAGGAGTAATGATGTCAGTTTGATGACTGAGGTGCGTCTGATTCAGGCCATGGTCTTTCTGATCACTTGCTGTGCATCTGAGACCTGGACAATGAATAAGGATGACAGAAGAATAATTGATACCTTTGAGCTGTGGTGTTGGAGAAGAGCACTGAACATCCTATGGGGTCCCAAAAGAAAAACAAATATGTCTTGGCGATGGTGCTGCCAGAATTTCATGAACTCTTCACTTCCTGTACGCAGAAGGGATCAATCCTATGGAAGAGATATCATGCTGGAAAGATGGAGGGTCAGAAGAAGAAAGGAAGACCTTCCACAAGATGAATTGGCACTGTGGCTGTAACAATGGCCTTGAACATGGAGGAGAGCCTGAGGATGGTGCACAATAGGGCAAGGTTTAGATTGGTGGTTTATAGATTGAGTTGAAGCTGACTCAACAGCACCTAATAACCACAATACTAAAAGAATACTAATTGTCTAAAGAAACTGCTGGTGAAATTATAGACCCCAAAGGCTGTTCTCGTGAAGGCTCAGCAGGAAAAGAGAATCATTCTCATACCAGAGACAGCAAAGATGAAGGGAAGCAGCACCAGAGAAACAGCAGCAGCAGTAGAACCAGGAGCTCTGCACAGAACAAGAGACCAACACAAGACAGCGTGGATACCAAGCCGTGGAGGAAGAGGAAGCAGTGTCTTCTGTCACTCTAATAGAATGGGATGCATTTCAGCATTTGTCAGGGGAGCTGGGTGCTTCCAGGCTGAGGCATACTTTGGGGTGGGATGCCTCTGGGCATTTATCAATAGAGCTAATGCATTTTGTCATATTTGTCAGAGAAGGGCAGAAGCTGAGCTGGCTTTTTTAAGAGACCATAGAGTATAGGAAGCAGAGCTGCCTCAATTTCAAAGAATATGATAACTTTAAGGTCTCAAAATATAAGACTATGCCTTCTGCAGTTCCTAAAGGCAGTATTACAGTTTGCTAGGGTATAAAGGGCTGTATCGTTGCCAGTTTAGTTATCAATGTGAGGTCACCTTTAAGCCGCCTAAACAAAGCTAAAGAGGTAAGGTTGTCATGCCCAAGGCAGATGGAAGAATGGGGATGATTTGACCCTGGAGCTTGGATCACCACTTCCACTAGGAAAATGGCCCACTCAAAGCCAAGGAAGCAGAGTTCTACTTGTGGGCCTCCACCCTGAGCATACTCTAGCCAAAACCCCGAGTCTGTGTGGCAGGACCACTCCCTGGATGGTCTCAGAATGGAGGATTCATTTCAAACTTTGGATCACATGCCTTTGGAGTTGCAGTGCAACCCCCCTTACCAACCTTCTGGTCCCCAGAGCTCTTTTTTGTGAGGATATGGTAAGATGAAAGTGTTTTGTATGTGACAAGGACATGAATTTTGGAGGAGCTGAAGGGCAGATGTAATGGTATGATGAAAAAGTTATGTAATAATCCCTAATGATGTATTTAGCCAAAAAGTTGAAAAAGGATTAGGAATGAAATACAACACAATTTCATCTCATTACAGCCTTAAATCCAATGTAAAGGGAGTTCCCTAGGACATAATACCTTCTCTCTAACTAGAGCTAATAGGAGAAGAAAGCAAACCAAGAAGGGGAAGTACCAGGAAATAATAATCAGGAGTGGAGTGCTTTGGGCCCAGGCCTCTGCAGTAGCGGTCTCCTTGACACCAGAGCTAGGATATAGGGAAATCTCCAAAGAACACTAAACCTGCAGATGCTGAAAGTAACAAAGACTTTCCTTCATAACCAACAGAGATAAAATAGGCCTTTCCCTGGAGCTGGCACCCTGAATTTAGTCTTCTAGCCTCCTAAGCGATAAGAACTTCTATCACCTAGCCCATATTTTTCTATACCTAGAAACCTATGCCTAGACCAGGAGGCTATTGTGTGAACAGAGCAAGGAAACACAAATGATAGTTTAAAATTAAGAAAGGAGATCATCAGGGCTATATTCTCTCTATATATACCTATTCTATCGATATGCTGAACAAATTATTTGAAAAGCTGGACTCTGTGGACTCTTTGAAGAGTAATGTGGCATCAAGATCAGAGGAAAACTCATCAATCACCTGTGTTATGCAAATGACACAACCTTGCTTGCTGAAAGTGAGGAGAACTTGAAGCACTTGTTGCAGAAGATCAAAGAATACAGCTTCAATATGGATTACATCTCAATGTCAAGAAAACAAAGATTCTTACCACTGAACCAATAGGCAACATTATGGATGGAGAAGAGATTTAAATTGTCAGTGGCTTCATCTTACTTGGATCCACAATTAATACCCTTGGTAGCAGCAGTCAGGAAATCAGGAGATGTATTGCATTGGGAAAGTCTGCAGCTAGAGACCTCTTCAAATTATTGAAGTGTAATGATGTTGGTTTGAGGATTATGGTGAGTCTGATTCAAGTCATGGTCTTTCCAAGCACTTGCTATGCATCTGAGAGCTAGACAATGAATAAGGTATTCAGAAGAAGAATTGGTGCCTTTGGGGTGTGCTATTGCACTGAACATCCATGGATAGCCAAATGAACAAACAAATACGTCTTAGAGAAGGTGCAGCCAGAACGTTCTTTGGAGGCAGGGATGATGAGATGTGGTCTCGCATACTCAGGGCATGTTGCTGGAAGGGGCTATTCCTCAGAAAGGGACATGATGCTGGGCAGGATGGACGGTTAGCGAAGGAGAGGAAGACCCTCGACCAGGTGGATTGATACGGTGGCTGCTGCAGTGAGCTGTAATGTGTCAGGAAGTGTGAGGATGGCACAGGACAGAAGAGAGTTCAGATCTGTTGTTCATAGGGTCACCATGGGTCGTGTTCAACTCGATGACACCTAACAACAACAGCAAGCTGTAAGAGAATAAACTTCTGTTTATTAGTCATTCACTTGTGGTAGTTCTATGGCAGCAGCACTAGATAACCAAGCCACTCCACTGAGTTACCACTTGGCAGGACCACTGTGTCCCCAGTGAACAGTACCTTAATGGACAGAGAAATTTTGTACATTTTTGTTTCTTATTGTTATTTCAAAATATTGTCATTATTTAAAAAAAACAAAACACAACCCAAAGCCATTGCCATAGAGTCAGACTGCCTCATAGCCAACCCTCCAGCAGGTTTTCAGAGACTGCAAGTTGTATGAGAGGAGATTACCTACCTTTCTTCCTCTAAGTAGCTTGTGGATTCACCTACCTTTGAATTGGTAGCATAACTCCTTACCCATTAGGCTACAAAGCTTCCATTAGAGTATCCATCAGATGATCATCTGGCTCAGTAATCAATGTGACAAAAGACTTTATCTATCTTTTTCCTTCAAAAGTTTTTCCTATTATTTGACCTGTTAACTAACTGGAGGGGTGTATTATTGCTGTCAGACTTTGTCTTATCAGATGAAAGCCACTTATTATCCTCCCAACACTTTGTATCTTTTGAGAACCTGTAAAATGTAAGGCCCCAGAGACTCCAGAAAATGGTCACACATCTGGTGACATTTATATAGTCGGTGCTGAAGTCACATTTTCTTGTGAGCAAGGCTACCAGTTGATGGGCGTGACGAAAATCACATGTCTGGAGTCTGGAGAATGGAATCATCTGGTGCCGTCCTGTGAAGGTATGTTTCCACAATTCTCCATGTTTATTGTGTTTGATAAGTGAACATATACAAAATTTTGTATCATTGTTTTTTTCCCCTTTTAAACCCAAACGTTACTTTCATGTCTAAACATAGCAAGAAAACATGTAGGTGCTCTTTGAGGTTCAGATAGGTTTGTCTTCACTAACAAATGCAATGCTTTTGCTTTTTCTTCTTTCCAGCTGTTTTTTGTGGGACGCCTGCTATTCCAGAAAATGGTGGCTTTGAGGGATCATCATTTACTTACGGCAGTAAAGTGACATACAGGTAAATGTTCAAGCCCTGTAATAGAAGTTAATGACATGCTAGTAATGATAGAATGCTGAGAAGAAGAATAAATCCAGACAATATTTTTCATTAACCTAGATTTAACTGAATTATGTGTAAGGTGAGGAGATAAATAAACTTCAGTAGTCTAATGGTAATTACACCTGTTGCTGTTAATTGGTGACCCTCAACAAATCGGATTTACGTTCTGCACCAGGCTGTCCTTGGAGAGGGACATCATGCTTGGGAGGGTGGAGGGACGGCGCAGGAGGGGAAGGCCCTCTATGAGGTGGATTGATTCAGTGACTGGGGTACTCGGGACAGGTTTGTCAGAGGCAGTGCGATTGGCACAGGATAGAGCAGGGTTTAGGGCTGTTGTACATCGGGTCGCTATGAGTCACAAACAACTCGACGGCACATAACAACAACAACAACCAGGCTCACAATCTCCGCTGTGTGTGAGCCCCTTGTTCCAGTCAGCCATGTGTCAGTCTATCTTACTGAGAGTCATCCTCTTTTCACTGACTTGCTACTTTCCCAAATGTGATGTCTTTATGCAGGCACTTGGCCCCTCCAAGCAATGCTCCCAAAGCATGCGAGACTAAGTTGCTACATCTTTGCTTCTAAAAATTACTCTGGCTGCACTTCTTCTAAGTCAGATTTATTTGTTCTTTTGGCAATCCACAGTATATTGAATCTTTTTCACAACCCTACAATTTAGACCTCCATCTTCCTTACGTATTGTCCACCTTTCACATGCATATGAAGCCACTGAAAATGTCATGGCTTCGGTTTATCCCATTTTAGTCTTTAAACTGATGTCTTTACTCTTTAGCACTTTGAAGATGTCCTTGGCATTAGACTTGCCCAGTGCACCCAGGGAAGCAGCAGTCTAGAAGGTTCCATCTGGAATCTATAAAGCTACGGCCAAGTAACCTGTTATTGGCCCCAACACTCCCTTGAGGCACCTTGAGAAAAGATGACACTGAGGGCTGGTGTTCTTGCTAATGAATACTCCTTGTGAGAAACTAGGGTGTTGGTTTTCTTCAAACTCAATGATGTCTTCTAATTGGAGGAGATGAGATCACCTCCAACCAAAGAAAATTCTCTTTGAAACTCTCAACCTATGGCACAAACTGGTGACAAGTAAAATCCTTAAATATGCCATTCTGTTTATCACCTCACAAATTCCAGGGAGGAAGATACACAACTTCAAACTTGGAAAAATTTAAGCACTTTCAGGAATAGGTGTTTTGTTTTTTTTGAAAAAAAAAAAAGGAGGAGGAGGAAAGGAAAAGAGAAGAACAAACAGAATCCTTCCTACATATTCTCAGTGTCTCAGAGAGGGGTGGCATAGCTAAAATTATCTGATTAAATAAAATTCTGTCATTTGTTTCTATCTTCTTTAGGTGTGATAAAGGATATACTCTGATGGGTGATGAGGAATCCTCCTGCCTTGCAAGCGGTTCTTGGAGTCATTCTCCACCTGTGTGTGAACTGGTGAAGTGTTCCAGTCCTGAAAGCATAAATAATGGAAACTATATTTTGAGTGGGCTTACCTACCTTTCTCAGGCAACATATTCGTGTGAGAGAGGATACAGGTAAGATCCACAAACAAGCTTTCTCCAGTACCTTAATCTTTATTACTTATACAACAGGTTTCATTTGTACATGACCTTCCAAATCTAATACGTATACCCAAATCTGAAGGATATTGTCAAGTATGGAATCTTCCTGAAGCCTGTGACAAGGAAAAAAAAATTTCCCATCTAACTTGGTTTCATTAACCATGCTTTTATCAAAATTACCCAAATATAAATTTTACAACTTTAACTCTTTATTAAGGAATCATTAACTTTAGAGACATTTCTCTTTTGTTGTGAAAAATGCCATTGTAATACTGGGTAAAACTCACTGAATATGCATATTTTATAAAGTGTTGGTTCACCTGCCATAAACACTCAGGCTTTAAGTATGACAGTGAACAGTACCTACTTTTGTGATGGATTAAAAACTATTAAAAGTTACGAAAAACGTGTCAAGTTGAGGGACCTAGGAATTTGATAGAGTAAGAGATTTATCTGACGCATTGTATAAGTAAATGTGGGAGGGGGAAATGTTTTCAACCCACGGGACAGCAGAGTCAGGCTGATCAGATAGCAGCAGCATGATCTGACTTGAACAGAGTAATGTCATTCTTCCTGTAGCTTACAGGGCCCTTCAATCATTGAATGCACAGCATCAGGCCACTGGGATCCAGCGCCACCTACCTGTCATCTTGTCGTCTGTGGAGAGCCTCCTGCCATCAAAGATGCTGTCACCACTGGAAGTAACTTCACTTTTGGAAACACTGTCACTTACGCTTGCAAGGAAGGGTGAGTAACAGGGAAGCCAGCAGAGGGAGCCCAGGGAGCGGGATGAAGGCAGCAGAAATTAGGCGTTCATGGGCTGGCCCCACTGGCAGGAAGTTAAATATTCTGATCACTACAGAGAGGCTATATGCTCTCTTCTCCTAACAGCAGAAAAAGAACATGTTCTCTTGTGGAAACAGTATTTTCTTGGAATAAGCATAATGTATCAAATCAGTGGGCACTGGGCAATGCATTGGAAAGTACATATGGTTGAGTATTATGGTTAGCACAGGAATCCAGAATTAAGGTTGCACAGAGAAGTGTACTCAGGGTGGGGGGTGGGGGGGAAAGGAGGGGGAATTGTATACTAATGAAGGAATCTTTTTTTTCTTTTTCTTTTCGGAGAGGGGAGCGAACTGGTGGGGAGGGGTGGGCAGGGAGAAAAGTGCGGCAATGAATGAGTGGAAATCCAAAACCTCTGTAAATGTCTATTAAAATTAATAAAAAATAAAAAAAGACAGTACACTACTCCTAAAGGTGCTTTTAAAAGCCTATTTAAAGGAGGCATTTAATGATTTATTCTTGGAAAAAAATTTAAGTCTCACAAAAGCATGGCATTTTCAAAAATACAATGAAAAGATCCAAGTTTTGTTACTCTCTCTTTTTTTATTATTATTATTCATTTTAATGAACATTTACAGAGATTTTGGATTTCCATTCATTCATTGTTGCACTTTTCTCCCTGCCCACCCCCGTCCCACCCCCCAGTTCGCTCTTCTGTTTGGAAAGTAAAAGAAAAATTCCTTCACTGGTATACAATCCCCCCACACCCCCTAACCCCTACCCCGAGTATACTCCACTCTGCAACCTTCATTCTGGACTCTTGTGATAATCATAATGCCCTATAATATATTGCTTTTAGACTGTTCTCTCCCTCATCCATTTCAATGCAGTATACATAATTTATCCAGTTTTTCCCATTCTTACCCCAACCCTGATGTCAGTCCCATTCTACAGCAGTGGCACTATGCTGTGTTTGTCCTCTGTGACTGAGATATTTCACTCAGCATAATGTCCTCGAGGGTCACCCATTTTGTGTTCCTGTCTCTAGATCTCATGTAATTCAGGGAGGCCTGGTGGTGTTGTCAGCAGGGAGTCGTGCTGCTCACCCAGCGGTGACCCACCAGCTCTGAGGGAGAGAGATGGGCAGTCTCCTCCTCCTGTGTGATTCACAGCCTCCACAGACCCACTGGACGGTCAGCTATTGTTACAGCTGCGGAAGTCAGAAGACCTGGACCCCCTGCTCAGCAGGCAGCCCCCTAAAGAATTAGTGAGATGCCATCTAATAGGTAAAATGAAGTAGGAAAGACATAGTGAAGAGTGAGCAAGGTGGCAAGTCTGTGTAAGCCCAGGCACTAGAGCAGGCTGCTCCTTGCAAATAAGGACACCCTTTGCTGAACGGAACTCAAGTTGTTCTTTGAGGGGACATTGCAGGGGAACATTCTGGCATTGCCTGGTTAAGCTTAAGATCCACAGATGATGATTCCACATCCAGGCCTTTCATTGTTCTTTCCTAGGACTCTGTCTGTTTCAGGGGTGGGATTGGTCGATCAGAGGTTCCAGTCAGAGGTGCTTGATTGATCAGCGTTTGAGGCAGGGATGTGCTTGCTTGATGACAAGTTACATTCAGAGATGTGGTTGGTGATTAGAAGTTTGAGCCAGAGGTGTGGTTAGTAGTCAGGCGTTCTAGGCAGGGGCCCACGATTCATCTGATTCAGCCTGATTTCCTTCTCTATCCAGACTGCCTAACACTTATGTTAGTATTGCTGTGATTTGTGTTTGGAATGGACTCGTAACTGACACTCCACTCAGAAGATGTAAATTGCACAGAAAAAAAAGCCTGTCTTTCTCCTGTTGAGCAAGCTGGTGGACTCAAACTGTCTGTCTGTGAGTTGGCAGTCCAACTCCTTGCTATTAGGTCACCAGAGTTCCCTAGCACTTTGAGTCATTTCAGTGTAGATGGGTGTGAGTGTTTCTCGCATTCAATTCAGAGATAAAAGGTTTAAAACTAGGAAGCAGATAATAGATTGCTTTCACTCATGATTCTCATGACAATGTCCCGGAAGTTTGGACTGGTTTGAGGTGTCATCAACAGCAGTAAAAAATATTGAGGAAGATTAAATCCAAAAGACAAGCAATCTACGTTTCATTGTTTTTATCATGATCCTTCAATAAACAGCCTCGTCAGTAATTGCACTTTCACATTCCAGATGTATTACAGTTGCCTTGCACACATTTGGACAAAAATATATTTATGGGCAGCAGAGAGGGTTGTTTTCTGGTTTGTGTCTAAAACTTAAATGTAAGTTCTGTCCTTCCGTTAACTGTGACCTTAGGAAAATGGTGTCAGCTCTCTGTGCCTTGATTTTTCCCTATGTAAAAAAAAAGTTTTAAGTTATAATACATTTATTAGTTGTAAAAATTTCTTTTTATTTTTTCTTTTACTTAACTATTTTTGTGTGTGTGTGTGTGCCGTCAAATCAGATCTGACTGATACAGGAGGAGATTGTCTCTCCTTCCAGCAGAGTATCTGGTGGATTTGAACCTGCTCACCTCTGGGATTGCAGTGCAGCTTCTTGCCACTAGACCACCAGAGCTCCCTTGTAAAATTATTTTTTATAATACTCTCGGAGTTATTGTGAGGAATCGGATAAATTGTATGTCCTAACCAAAAAAAAAAAAAAAAAAAAGACTCCGTAAACACAGATGTTATCACCAATAGTCCCTCCCACTAATACAGGACTGCCAGCAGGTGGCGCCAATATCTTCTTGCAAGTAAATAAATAATTGCTTATCAAGCCAAAAGCTGATCTGGTGACGTAGGGGTGAGGAGCCGCGCTGCCAGCCCAAAGGCAGGCGCTTCCCGTCCACCAGCTGCTCCACAAGAGAAAGATGGGCAGCCTCCTCCCACGTGAATTTTAGCCTCTGAAAAATCCCTGGAAGGTCAGCTATGATGAGCAGGTTCCAACTCAACGGCAATAAGTTTTCCATTTTTTATGCAAATTTGACCTGCCAAGTCCATAAAATTCCTGCGCTAGGGATCGTCAAGTGTCTTCCCAAGTCAGTCAAGTGGTCATCTGTTTCCCAGTTATGTTGACATACTTACATGTGTGCTCCTTTGGTGAGAAACTCGGCCAGTAGAAAGGGTTAAATTGATATCCTAAAATGAAATTGCTATCCTGAAATTTTAATCAAATTTTATCCTTCTTATTCTTCTCAGATATAAACTTCTAAACGTAATTGCTTGTTATGCTAAGATGAAAAATCTTTGATCCTTGTCGTTAATGCAAAACAAAATTAATTACCAATGCAGATTTATGGATTTTATTGTCCTTATTAAGTTGCAGCTTGTTAAATACATAATATGCTGCTCTTTTAAGATTCTTCTAAAAAGAGAAGAGCTAATAACTGACTCGAGAGCTCGCTCATAAAGCTTCCCAGGCACATATCATTAGCAGACTTCCACTCAGTGTGTGAATTAAATCAGTGAAAATTAACATCTGAACATCAATCTGCCCATTTTCAGAGGATCTTTAGTTATTATTCTGGAAACATGCAAATATATTCCATCCATGACTTTCTAAATGTGGGCCTCACTGCATCACTACAATACTCAGGGACCATCATCCCTTGCAATTAATACCTTTTGTAGCTTGATCGTCTACATATGTACCCATGATGCCTCTTGAATGACAATACAGAAATGTAATTAAATATTCCAGTATCTGAAAATTGCATCAATTCCAGTTTTTCCTGCTTAGTTGCCAACATTTATAGGTCTTATCTCACCAACTGTACACAACTTTTCATTTTTTAAGTGCTTTTTAAATACAATAAGTTTCCCTAGAAGTTTTTTATATGTCAGAGCGCTGATATAATGAAATAGTGCAACAATTTGATTACAGATCATGTATACCTCTGTTTATCTAATGACTAGTGACTATTTTTGTTTGGTTTTTTTTCCATTTGGAAAATATTTTCTTTAGTATCTTCACACACTGATATATTTTTAAAAGATAATTAGGAAACCTCTTCATTGAATATCATCAGAACCAACCAACCCAACTCATTGCCATCCAGTCTTAGCCAGCTCATAGAGGACCCTCTATCAGGTTTTCAGAAAATGTAAGCTGTATGGAAGGAGAGTTCTCCCTCAGAGCCTCTGGTGGATTCGAACTGTGAAAGAGGCACCACCTTTATGTAATGGTGCAACTCCCTACATACTACCCTTGGATTGGTATCTAGTCTGATGTACTAACTTGGCACTCTCAAAATCACAGAATAGAAATTTTACTCCTCACCTCCTTACCAGCCTTGCATACAATGACAGCTTGGACCCTAGGTGCTCTTACAAACGGATCCTGATAGTCAGTTGGGAGGTTTCGACAAGCAATCCCATTCTCATTACCTAGCTCTATGACTTAAAAGTGATTTTTCACTCTAGGTAGAATGGCTCTAGAAGGGGTTGTGGTACTAGGGATATTGTAGCTAATGTTAGATGGATCTTAGTTGAAAGCAAGGAATACCAGAGGAATGTATAACTGTGTTTCATTGATTATGCAAAGGCGTTTGACTGTGTGGATCATAACAAACTGTGGCTGACTCTGAGAAGAATGGGAATCCCAGAACACTTGATTGTGCTAATAGAAACCTATACTTGGACCAAGAGGCAGTCATCAGAATGGAGCAAGGGAACACTGCATGGTTCAAAATTGGGAAGGGCGTACCCCAGGGATGTGTCCTGCCTCCCTCCATACCTTTTCAACCTGTATGCAGATTATCCAGGAGGCTGGGCTCTATGAGGAGAAATGTGGGGTCAGGATTGGCGGAAGATGTATCAACAATCTGTGTTAGACAGATAGCACAACCCTGCTTGCTGAAGCTGAGGAGAACCTGTAGCACTTGCTGCAGAGTGTCAAAGACCGCAGCCTCCAATATGGATTGAGGCTTAATGTCAAGAAGAC